CCATCTCCTTCTGAGCAAACCCCACCGCCCTGATGCTGTCTTTAGTCAATTCCTTCATTCTGTGGGGCAAGTTCACATGTGTTGCTCCCACTGGACTCTGAGGAAGCTGGGGCTTTACATAATTATTCACGTGAGAGACTGAAAGGTGTCCTTACGGGAAACACCTGACCAGCCGCCAGGGATTCCGCCCCATCTGTCCATAGGAATGCCTGCTCCCGGGGCTGTCCAACCCACTCTCAGTTGCAGCTTTGTGCTGGGAGCCCTGTGTCTTCCCCATCAGCCATGCTCAGCACCTCCATGCAGCCTGCAGCAGCTTTCCCCCAGGGCCCAGGCCAGCTGCAGTGGTGCTGAGCAGGCCACACACTGGATCCACCTGGGTAGCTTTGACTCTAGGATCCGCCCCCATCCACCTTCACTTCATGAGGACTGGACAAGTCCTGGCCATTGGAATTTTGGAAAGCTTCCCAGGGGAGTTGTGATGTGTTTTTAGGGTTAAGAAACAACTGTGGGCTGGGGAGAGGCTCTGTGGGTTAAGCGTTTGGAACACAAGTGTGAGGACTTGAGTTCTAATCCCCAAAGCCACATAAATCTGGGCATGGGTCTGTGAAGTACGCATCTGTGGTCCCAATATTCCCACTGCAAAGAGGGAACCGGAAGCAGGCCATCACCTGAAAGCTTGCAGGACAGATATGTGGTGGAGGCCTGGACGGACACAGACTGTCCTCTGACCACCACAGACATGTGTTACTCCCGACAAACACTTTTTTTTTTTAATAAGGGAATTGGAGAGATGGTTCAGTGCTTAAGAGCACATGCTACCCTTAGAGAAAACCAAATTAGGTTCCCAGCACCCACATTGGGTGGTTTACAAGCACCTTAACTCCAACTCCAGGGGATCCAACAAGCTCTTCTGGCTTTCAGGGGCATCTACATGCACTTGCCATACACATGGATGTACACACACACACACCACACACACACATGTAAAATAAAATAAGTCTTAAAAAATGATAAAGTAAAGGAACCCGAAGAACCAGGGCAGAGTCTCTTACCTGGAAGCAAGGCTGTGTCGCCAGCCTCTGCTCTATTAATGTGGCAGTGTCTGAGACACTTCTTGTCATTGTCCCTCTGAGACGAGGGTGAAGTGTGATCCTAATTAGTCTTATCAATAAAAACCAGGAGTTAAATATCAGCATAATAACCTGAAAGATCAGAGAAGCAAAGGAGCGGCCACCAGTGGCTTCTTACCTCTCTGGATCCTTAGACCGAAAAGGGGCCGAGATCCTGTCTCTGCTTTATATTCCTGTCACCAGCTCCCTAGCGCTGGGATCAACAGCAAGAGCCACCACCCGCCTGGCCTCTATGGCTAACTAGTGGCTAACTCCACCCTCTGATCTCCAGGCAAGCTTTATTTGTCAGAACACAAACAAAATATCATACAACACGAGGGTGCTTGTGTATAAAGGCCAGGGACACCAGTGAATCCCATGGTGCATAGGAGAGTGGTGGGCTTCACTTGTTCCTGGTAGATCATGGTTCGCACACTGGAGAGCACATAGGATGTTTGGAGGGCTTGTTAAAGTGTGTATTGCAGGGGCTGTGGGTGTGGCTTGGTATGTAAAACACCTGTCCCACTTGTACAAAGCCTTGGGTTCCATCTCTAGAGTCTAGGATGTGGGGTTTGCATTTCTAACCAGTTCCCACGTGATCATGAAGCTATTGGTCCAGGTCTATGGGTTGAGAAATCCATTGTGATGATTAGAAAGCGTTACAACCGAGATTTAAGACAAACAGAAATCATAAAACCATCCCATGCCAATCAAGCATCATTGGAGTGTGGCCAGAATCCAGCCCTGCCTTCTTTTAACCATTATAGGACATGAATGTCTCTACTAGACCAGTATGGCTGCCGGAGAACCAGCCATCTGACCTTATTAAAACAGGACTTCAAGATGGATCGGCTTCAGACTCCTTTAGCGCAGCCTGCCCTGAATTACTCCAATAGCTTTAATTGCATTGTATTGGTCAGTTCTTATATAGTTATGCCTCACCACACAAAGTCTGAACTTCATCACACCAGAAAAAAAAAAAAAGGTTGTATTGGCAAATAGAAAGGGCTGGGTAGATACTGAGATGGGCAAGAAGCAGCATCTTCGACTCAACGTCTGAAAAGCACAAACTGTCCTAAGCAGTATCACTTCTTTGGCATCCGCTATTCACCAGGTGGTTTCCATGTATTTATCTCATTTAATCCCAAGAACTTTGTAAGGGAGATGATAATATTATCTTTATTTTGCAAATGACGAAACAAAGGCTTTTTTTTTTTTCTCTCAGAGATTAAGCAACAGCCTTCTTCGTGGCTTGGGTTCCCTTCTTGCCTTGGATGCTCTCAGAGGCCTGCCTTTTTCTTAGAGCCTGCAGGCTGTTGCCTAGTCTCTTCTAAGGCTAAATCCTGCTCCACTGCTAGTGATGAATTTGCCTTTCTGGTTACCTGTATCCCTACTCTGGTGCCCTCTTGGAAAATCTTTGGGGATGGGGATTGGGTCTGGGAGGTTGGCTCAGTGGTGTAAGGCTTGCATGGCATATTTGAAGCCCTAGGTTCCATCATTACATGGTTTAAAATGTCTCCGTGGTAGTACGGACAGTCTGAGGCCAGTTTTAGTGTGCTAAAGAGAAGGTATCTACGGAACTGATTTCTTCTAGACACTCCAGGGGAGACACCGTTGCCTTCACTGTCCCTTGTCCTCGGGAACCCCTTCTTGAGCTTGCCAAGCTCTCTCTTCCACTCCACACCTCTCTTCCCTGTGTTCCATCTGCTGTGCCTCTGATGATGCTGAGGGCACAGCCTGATGACTCCTTTCATTCCTGGTTATCTCCTGCCTCAGACTGCTGACCTCCTCCCATGTCCACACAGCTCCTTTTGTCATGCAAGGTTACAGTGACTAGAAGGAGAGCGTCTTTTAATATCTCCATTTTTTTCCCTTCCATCGACTGCTCCAAACTGTACATAGACTGTACATGTACTCTACTTATGGATGGAAGTTTTAAAAGAGGCCAGAAGCCAGGCCTGGCAATTCATGCTTGTAATCCCAGTACTCAGGAAGCAGAGGCAGGAAGATTGCTCTAAGTTCAAGGCTAGCCTGGACTACATTGTGATTGCCAGGACAGCCTGTACTGCACAGTGGGAGACCCTGTCTCCAAAGTGACAAATAAAAGAGGCAAGAGATGAGGGCCAAGGCAAGGCCGTGTGGTGGATAGCTTGTCTACTCTGTCATAGCAACACATAGAGAGACAGTCCAGCACAATGGGCAAGGGGAGAGGGTTCTGCCCTGGGTGTGACTGTGTCCCCCTGGCGGAGTGGCTTCACATGTGGAGAAGTGTCATCGGAAGGGGCATTCCGGTAGATACTGTAGTTTTCTACACAGCAAACTTCGTCAGCCTTGGCTGCCATTCCTGGTGACTTCTCAGCTCCTAGACTTTTTTTTTTTTCTTTCAATCCCTGAACCCCTTTCCCTCTTTCCCTTTCTCCAGGCTGACAGGAACAGTTTGGTGAGGGTTGGGAGAACTTTCTCATGCTCGAACCCCACTTCCTACTGGGGAAGTGTTAACTCCCCGCCTCCTGCCCCACACCCACCCTCTGTCTAGTTCTACCCTCCCAGTGTTTTGCTTTGGATTTTGTTTGGTAAATTCCTCATGGCAGCCCCTCTGTGCTGAATGTCCTGCTGTCCTGCTGCATGGAGTTGCTGAGCAACAAGAAGGAAGCCCCGTCACTGCCAGTTAATGAGCCAGCTGCATGGCCTGTCTCCCAGGCGAAAAGGCTTGTGGGGCTCTAGGAGACAGCCCCGAGGCTGGTGCAGAAGGAGAAAGGAAGCTGGAGGAAGATTAGAGAACTTTGGGGTTTGGGGGTGTGTTTTTAGGTCCAAATGTGAAGGAGTGTGTGAGGGGGCTGGGCTGCTCCTGGGATGCACTATCCCTATTTTCTTTTGGGCCACCAATCGGAACTCACTTTTTTATTTGTGATTTTGAAGTTGAGCTTGTCCCCTTCCCCAGCTCTCTTGCAGAGATGCCTTCAAGTGTCTTCTGCCCTGGGTGTCCCCATCATTCTACCTATCACTCTAGGCCTCATGGTGACTACTCCACCCTGCCAAGAAGATATTTCACCTAGACATTTTCACATGGAGCCTCTAGAATCCAAATCCTCAGGGCACTACCATCAGCTATCGATACCCCGGCTTTTACTGGTCTAGGAAGCCTTGAGCATGAGATACCTCCTTCCCTGCAATGGCCTATAAGGATGGTACTTAGCTGACTGGCTTATTCTGGGATCTGAGCATCTCTTCTGACAAGGTACTTATGGACGGCCTGCCCACATTTCTCATCCTGGGTTGATGATGGTTGTGAACCTGAGACCAGTAAAGCAGCCACCTTCTTTGTATGCCAACACCATCTCCAGTGGCCAGACTCAGTCAGCACTGAAGTGGGGTGGTCCCCTGAGGGACTCGGTGATTGGTTGCTCAGCATTGTGGGTGATGAGAAGTGGGAAGGATCTGTAAGGAGTGTGCATCTGCCCTCACCCATTTGCCCTCAGACTGGGAAGAGAAATGTGCCAGGTGTTCTGTGGAACCCCTGTCCATTCTGAGTCCATTAGTCTACAGGCGGGAGGCATGGGGCCTACTGTGACCATGTGTATGGAGAACCAGACCCTGTTGTTCTGGGGACACTAGTGTGTGTCTGTGAGCCGGGTGATGTGGCACCTTCACACTCATCTGTCAGCTCTGGGTATGACAGTAGGATGCATGTATCAGGCTTCTTGCAGGTGCTGCAGTGAGCAGGGAGGCCGGGAGCCAGACAGAAGCATCACGTCTCCTGAACCTTAACTGAAGCACTACTGTGTTCGGATGCAGCAGAACACAGAGCCCTGTGGAAGGGAGTTAGGAAACTGAAGAGCTATGAAAAGAGCAGATGCCGCCATCTAACTCTCACTGTCTTTTGGTCCACAGGCCTAGAGCGGGAGGCTGACCAAGGGCTGTTCCTGCTCACTCATGATGCTCACCAGAAGCTCTGTGGAATTGTGGAAGATATGTCCCTAACCCTCCTTTCAGGACTTGGCTGTGATCACGCTACCTCTGGAGAACTAAGAGCCCTGGATTCAATTGAGGAATATTATTTGGGAAAATACAGAAACTTCTAGACTGTGAAGATATTTAAACGAACAAAGACATCTCTGGACATGACCTACAGCTGGGGAAGGCTCGCCATCCCAACTCATCTACTGTTTTCTAGAAGACAAGTCCCCTGATGCCACTCCCAAGGATACTCTTCTCCACTCTGTCCCTGTCCCAGATACCACGCCTTTCCCTGCCTGACCCCACCTCATCTTTGGACCCAGAGATTCTTATTTGCTCTATCCATTCGAGTCAGATGCAGAGTGAATAGTTAACTACACTTGAGTTGAATGGGATCTTGGTTTCTGTTTCTGTTCCTTGTAAAGAGGTCACTCTCTGTTCGTGGCGCGCAGCCTGGAAACGGTTTGTGACTCCAAAGAAGCACAAGAGTCAGCATGGAGGTCCTGTGGGCTCTTGGAGATCAGGGGAGTCCAGTAGGGCTGCCGCTTGCTGTGGTCTTCCATTGCTTGGTTCACACGCAGGTGTACGCTTGGACAGGTAGAGATGAAGCCATTGTCACCCCATCTTCTGTGACACAAATGGGATGAGCTATAAAGACCTTCTTCAAAGGTGGCAGTGGGGGATCGTCTTGTCCAGGTGCTTTGTGACTGAGCCGCCGGCTCCATTAGTGGTGCCTCCTGAGGACCTCCTCCCCCTGGTGTATGCTGATGGTTGGTACACACAGCTGTCCAGAAGCTGGAGACTTCTGGGTCCCTTTCCTCTGTGGCCTCCACGTGGGCAGTTGGAAATCCTTCCAAATCATGTCATAAATCCACCTTCTTGACTGCGTACTCAAAGACATTCGAGGCTTTTTATTTATAAAATGGATGCATAGTTTGTTCATATAAAGCAATCCGAGCTTCCTCTTATTGTAATTGATGTATTTCTGTGGCTGTTCAGTGACTTTATAGTGGGATATTGACTTTGGCCTCTCAGATTCTCCATGGTAGAATTGAAAGACCTCCTAAAGATGTTTAATGCTGCTGAAATCCAAAGAAGGCTTACAGACATTCTTCTTCCTCCCTCCCTCCCTCCCCTACTTCCTCTTTCCTAAGCACACAGTGGCAGCATGTGCTTGAATTGCATGAATTCCTTCAGGTTCTAAGGAATGGTGACCCACTCCTACCATCTCTGTAAATGTGATCTTTTCTAAAGTAACAGTAGATAAAGCAATAGAAATGGGTGGAGGGGCTACCTAGGTGGCCTGCCCATAATCTGTAGGGGACCTGCCCCCACATTACCCTGGGTACTCTTGAGAGAGGGATAAGAAAATATCAGGTAGGAAGAGAGACCTAGTTGTTGAGAAGAAAGGACCTGGGTCAATATCCACCGGCCCAGAACTTTATTCAAAAGGACTTTTTATAACAATGTCAAGGGGCAAGGCAAAAGACCTCCCCTTTGCTAGATACAGGCAAGTATAGACCCTTCCAAACACCTGGTAACCACATCTATGGTCAAATCATCCCCTTTTGCAGCCCTGCTGGGTAAAGTAAGCTCAGATTCTCTGAGCTGGAGTAATTTGGGCCTCCACAATAATCCCATAGTTAGACCACGTACTCAAGAGCCACAGGGATGACAAGGACAGTGGCATCCAGATTGTCATGTTCCTCCCTGTGCAGTAGGAAATAGGGTTCCTAACTCCCACATTCCACTCTGTGTGGAGCTGGGGAGATCCAGTCATCTCAGCCTGCCCAGGACAAGGGATTTCTTGGGACAAGAGATTTGAGGGAGCTAAATCTGGGGCTGACTTGAGAAAAGTGTCACAGTTGGTCATCCTGCTGAGTGAACTAGTGACTGTGTCTCTTCTGCTCCTGTAGCAAGGAGAAGCTGGGTTGCTTAGCCAGTCCCCATTCAGGCCTGTATGTCTGGTCACTCATTGGCCACAGGGCAGCCTACACACAGAGCAGATCAGGTGCCCCTCCTGACCAAATGTGTTATTTGTAAGATGGTAGGTTTGTCTTGTATTGAAGAAAATCTTAAGTGTGGTGGGCCAGTTGAGACCATGTCCTTCCGAGGAGTGTTGTGTACAGTGGGCATGGCAGAAATTCAGAGCACCAGCAATTGCTCTAGGACCGTCCTATATAGGTGACACTGACCCTGTATTAAAAATGAAACTGCCCTCGAAGAAGCAAACCCACGGCCACCAGGATAGTACAGGATGCACAGCACCATGCTCATGCTTGGATATGTGTGTGTGTGTGTGTGTGTGTGTGTGTGTGTGCAACACCTGTGCAAACGTGCTATATAGAATAAACGAAGATCAAAAATTTGCATCTTTGCTAGACAGAGACAAAGAGCTGAAATCTTAGGGACAATGTCTGGAAAGCAGGGGACTTGGCTAGGAGACTTCCTGAAAGTCCTTTGAACTGTAGCTTTTATTTAGAATATCAAGGGCATTTCGACTGGGATAAGTGTGTACTTTCTTTCTTAAGTCCTCCCCGATAACCCTGATAACCTGGGTTCAACTTAGAAAGCATTGAGTGGGACCTCCCAGCTCACTCTTACCTTCTCAGTCACTAGCATCAGGGAGTGGGTGGGACTTTAAGGAGGTAGGAAAGGGCGGAGTCATGCCAATCCAATTTGGGGTGTTCATGACAAGTAAGAACAATTGAAAGGTAAATTATAGGTTCTTTTGCAGCTTAGAAAAGCTAGGTTTTCAGGATTGCCTGGCACCTGAAGTTGTTGTTGTCTGTCAGGGATTTCAGCTCCCACCTTTCTGCTGAAAGCTAGGCATGAGGGTCCATGATGTTGGAGCAGGGGCCTCCCCCTAATCCTTCTCATCTTCAGTTTTGAGGCCACAGTGTGGGTAATTACATACTAGGGCAGTGATGTGCATCCAGGCATTCAGGGATTTTGGCATTATTCCTGAGAACTCCCATGCATCGGGAAGAATGCAAGCCTGTATCCTTTTCTTTGGATACCATCTTTGAAAAGATAACTATGGGATTGAGGAGATAGCTCCATCACGAAAGTGCTTGAGGACCAGTGTGGGGGTGTGTGCATTTATTACCCCAGTGCTTGGGAGACAGAGTCTTGGGGTTCACTGCTCAGCCATTCCAGCCTACTTGGCAAGTTCCAGGCCAATGAGAGGCCCTGTCTCAAAAAAACAAGGGCGCTGGAGAGATAGCTCGGTGTTTAAGAGTGCTTGCTGTTCTTGTAGAGAAGCAAAATTCAGTTCCCAGTACGCACATCAGGCCACTCACAACTGCCTGCAACTTGAGTTCCAGGGGATCACACACCTTGTTTTGGCCTCCACAGGAACCTGTACACACACACACACACACACACACACACACACACACACATACACACACACACACACACACACACAAAGTAAAATAAATCTTGAAAAAAATCAAGGTGAGTAACTCTTGAGGAACAACACTTGAGGCTGTCCTTTGGTCTCTTCTCACACATGCCATGTGCACTCATTCATGCTCTCTCTGTCTCTCGCTGTCTGTCTCTCTGTCTCTGTCTGTCTGTCTGTCTGTCTCTCTCTCTCTCTCTCTCTCACACACACACACACACACACACACACACACACACACAGTATTCACTCAAAGATGAACATGTTTCAGCTGCTCCTTCCTATGTACCCCATATTCACTGTTTGATCCTTGAAGAAGCTTTGCTACTGAGGCAAAGGCAGCCCTCTTCCTCTCTCTTCTCATCCACATAGAATCCCAGGATCTCAGTAGCTCAAGTAATCTACCTCATCAGTTCTCTGAACCGATCCAACTCACACAGGAATCTCCCTTTCAAATTCTGACCAGCTGTCATCCAGACCTGGGGAGGCAGCCTTTGGTTGAGAGGGAGTTCTAAGGGAAGGCTGAACGTTAGTCACCATGATGGTGAAAAGAGGAGAATTTTAGAGAGGAATGCAGAGGCTGCTGAGTGGCCATGAGTGTCAATTCCTCAAGGAGATTTTGAGCTAATTTATTTTGCCTTTGCCCCTAATCAGTCTCTTACGTTTGGATCCTAAGGTATGTGTATGCTGGTTTAAAATAAGCATCACAGGGCAGGGAAACAGGAGACCTGAGATTTTGATGTCAGAAAGTCCCTCTTTGTATTTAACATGCAGGGCTGGGTACAAGTGCCTAGGACCGTCTCCTGATGCTGTACACATTGCTGTTGTATTTGGAGCATAAGTCATCAGTTTTCTAGGAGTTGTTGTCTTAAAGATCTGCTTATTTTCCATAGTGGAAGAGTCCATTAACTGATATCCATGGGACGATGGGAATTACCCCATCTCCATGCTGACCACTCTTAACCTGATCATAACTCAGTTATCATAATCATGACTACATTTCAAATTTACTCTGCTCCACGCCCCTGGGATCTTATGGATCATTTGAACTTGACTCTAGACCCCAGGAACCCTCTGGTCTACAAATAGACTTGGGGACCTTCCTATGCAGATGTGTGTGGAATTACTAGAGGTGGGAAGACATTCTTATGGTGAGGCATGGCCTCCCACTCAGGAGACAGCAGTTTGAAGGATAAAGAGTGACTTCAGAAATGACCACTGACACTGGATGAGACCCTTAAAGACTAGGCTTGTGGAAAGCATGTGGAGGGAAGCCTAAAGAGATCCTTGAACTTGAGGTAGGTTGAGGAGCGGTCTGGATACCTGGGATCTAGTCCTTTGCTTCAACTAGCTCAAGGTCATGTGTCAATCATTCAACCCTACCTTCTGTGGCTCAGTGTTTTCTGTATGTACAAAGGAGCAGGAAAGTAAAGAAGTTGACTGTGTGTCAGGCTGGTCGCCCTGCGTGCCCTGGCTGCTGTCTATTTCCTGATCGGTAACTCATTGTCTCTTTAGCCACACAAGTTGGAATTAGGGCTTTCTCTTCCCAGGGAAGTCCATTACCAAAGACTACTTCAAAGATGTTTGCACATGTTGTCGGCTGCACTAGGCATGAGTTTGTTGAAGGCAAATAGACACACAGCTGGTGACGGGAGGGGACCAAGGGCTGTTTAGCCCTGAGAGACTGCAAGGCAAGGCCAAGAGAAACAAAACAAAACAAAACAAAACAAAACAAAACAAAACAACTCTGCCTGCCATTTTGACCAGTCAATAAAAATGGGGAACTCTGAATGGTTAAAACCATAGGGGATTTATTAGTTTGCTTAGTGAAGGGCAAATATTAAGTCTGAAGTTGACCCATCCTGGGACCTGCCTTTTGGCTTTTGTGTTCGGCCAGGTGCCGATCACTGCAGACTCCACGTTATTAAGTTCTGTTCCTTTTCTTTTTTAGAATTGTTTTCTGTCTCCCTCTTTTCTCCCTCCTTTACCTATCCTTTCTACCTCCTACCCTTCCTAGAAACTCAAGTGTGGATTTTGGAGGAGGTGGAAGACTTTGCCTGATCATAAAATTCTCGGGCCCAGGGCTCTGGCTGGCAATTGGGGTGGCCTTGGGAAATGTGCTTTCTAGGTTGCCTTATGGATTCTCCATCTTCTGACCTGGACTTCAGAGTGCTAATAGGCAAAGGATTCGTCCCTCATTAAACTTGGAATGAGTACAATGGCATGTGTTAGACCGGACCACAACTATTTCTAAATCATAACCTCGATGTCCTAGGAGACCGTCCCTGCCTATCCACGACAGGTAGCTTCAGCTACTTAAGGTACTACTTAAGGAGAGGGCCACAGGGCTTATGACTATTAGAACAGAGAGGATGGACAGTCTACCTAGCTTCCAAGAACCAGGTCAAATGTGAACATTTCCAGGGGCAAGCAGTCCACTGTGAAACACTGCAGCTGTGAGTGCTTGGGTCTCCTGTGGGATGTAGTACTAAAGGGCACACTGCTCCACATCAGAGACTCAGCGCTCTTATCCAGATCTGCTCCAGGAGACTGCCCAGAAAAGAATGTCTTCCTTCTCTGCCCCAGGCATTACAGACAACTCTCCACCTATTGCTCATGCAGCCCACAGTTGGGAATGTTCTGGAACTGCTTCATGACGAAAGTCCCTCTCATATTCCAGTAATGAGCTTTTATTGAATGGGGCGTGTTAGCTTTCCATAGCTTTAGCAAATACCAGAGATAATCGGCGTTTAAAGAAAAAAGGTTTATTTTGGCTCGTTGTTTTGGAGGTTCCGGTCAGAGCCATAGCTTGGGGACAAACCTGAGCAGGAGCCTACGGCAGAGCAAAGCCACTCATTGTGTGGCTGGAGAGAGAAAGAGGGTCCTGTGTCCCACAGTCTCTCCAAGCGCATTTCCCCAATGGTGTGAAGACTTCCCAGGAGACCCAGACTTTAACACATAAGCCTTTGGTGGGGGCAGGGAGGGTGTTCCAGATTCAAACTGCAGCCTACCATGTGATTTCAAATCCTTTGCCCATCTTTATGGGGAAGTCTGTGTTTTGAAGGATCGATAGTAGGCACCAGGGGAAAAAAGCTTGTCTCAAATGCTCTCTTATCTAGGAGGCTTTCTTTGATTTTTCTTTCCCTCTCAATGAATTGGGGCAGCCCTCTTACATATTTTATGAAGCATGTTGTAGCATGTATAGACATATATATGTCTGTATGTCTGTATATGTCCCTCCTCCCATGACCATATGTTAATATCAAATTAACCACACCATGGTTGAATTATTCTGAGTGCCTCCTCTCTGCTTACCCCTTCTGTTAGAACAAGAACTCAGTTATTTCTTATTGATTGGAAGGTGACCCCAAACTGCCCCTGGTGTTCAGCTCTCACAACAAGCACTCTGATCTGCTCTTCACAGACGCTCTCTGGTCATCGGAAGACAGGCCTAGAGGAGTCCAGTGCCTTGTCCAAGCCTTATACAGGTGAGAGCTGGGATTCAGAAGCCACGGGGTCACTGACATGGCAAATGAGCAAACAAGATGTGGAGTTGCCTTTCCCTGTTTGCAGTCTGTCACAGCGTGTAGTGCCACATCTGCCTGCCTTTTGTTTGCCTTCTAATAATCAATAAAGTGTTATCAGAACAGCAGGGAAAATATGTGAGCTTTACTGTTTGGTTTCCATGAAGAAAGTGGAATGTGGCTGGGGTTTGCCGGTCCAACTGCAAAGCTAAGCTCATGTTTAAGGTGGATATAAATTCAAAGGTTTCGATCAAGAGGCTGGGGACTTGATTCCTTTGGTAAAGTGATTACCACACAAGCGTGAGGTCCCCCCAGTTGTGGGGATGCAGATATGAGAGGATCCCTGGAGCTGCCTAGCTAGCCACTCTACCTGAATTGGTAAGCTCTAGGTTCAGTGAGAGGGCCTGTCTCAAAAAGTACGTGGAAAGAATTGAGGGAGACACTTTGGCCACAACATACGTAAATCCTCACATACCTGTGCATACACACAAACATCCCATATATACCAATAATATTTAAACCAAATTTCTAGAGAGTTTGACTTTGTCTAGTGGTGAGAAATCAAGAAAAACAAAGTAACAGCAAAATCACATCTAAGCTTCCCTGCTCTTGGGGACTTTTGTATAACGAGGTAGAACAAGGCTTACGTGTGTGAAAATCAGTCTTGTTTGCCCAACAAACTCCTGGTTGGTATTCCAGAGAGTCTGGGCAGATGTCTCTTACTCTGTACTCTAGTATAGACTTCGCCAGTGGGTGGCAGAGAAGTTAGATAGTGTCTGTCGGGTGGACCATTTCCAGGAGTGTCACATGCAGACTCCAAGGCATACCATCTGGGGCCAAAATCAGAAGAGGTACCACTTAAGGGTCAGCAGCCCCAGAGAGGAAGTGTGTGTGACACCTGCTGTCCCATCTCTCCCTGGGGGAGGTGGCCACAGACGAAGGGGGAAGAGACAAAAGCGACAGAAGACTTTTCACTTCTTTGTGGGAAAAGACTCTCCAAAGCTCATCCCTCCTGACCTCTTACAAGCATGGCAAGATCTGGACAAAGAGGGTGTCACCTGTAAACCAAGATCACCAGAGGTGGCTTCAGAGAAGGAAGAAATGTTAGGCTATTCAGTCAGAAAATTGGGCAGTTCAGAAGAAAACGAAGTTTAGAACTTTGCAGTCATAGAGCTCTGGGTGAAATGTCTATGTCTCACTTGAGTCTCTCTCTCTCTCTCTCTCTCTCTCTCTCTCTCTCTCTCTCTCTCTCTCTCTCTCTCTCTCCCTGTGTGTGTGTGTGTGTGTGTGTGTGTGTGTATGTGGATTCATGTAGAGGCCAGGGGTTGACCACTGAGATGTCTTCCTCAACAATAGCTTTTCTTCATCATCATCATCATCATCTCCTCCTCCTCCTCCTCCTCCTCCTCCTCCTCCTCCTCCTTCTTCTTGAGATAAGGTCTCTCATTGAACCTTATCATTTTTGCTAGATCAACTGGCTGTCAAACTCTGGAGATCCATTTGTCCCTGTCCCTCAGTGCTAAGATTTTAGGTATACACAGCAATGCTTGACTTTTAGGTGGATTCTGGGGATCCAAACTCAGGTCCTCATGCTTGACCAGCAAACACTTTACCCACTGAGCCATACCCCAGCCTTTCATGTTAATTCCTTGACAAAAACTCTACTGAGAGCTATTGTTCTTATAGGTAAGGAAACTAAGACTGAGAGCCAGGGACTTGTCAGAGCACATCACATTAGGCTCCTATCTCTGAGCCCAGAGAGGAGTCTCTATATTATAGCCACCATGGTATTAGTCATTGCTGGCCGCTATAACAAAACACCATCCAATCTCCATTTCTATCTGAAGTTTTCTTGTCTGCACTCCAGCTGAATGTGAGTTGGTAGCAGTAGAAGCAGAGAAAACTCTTTGCAGAAATGCTGGGACCCAGGCTCCTTCTGTCCCAAGACACTATTACTCCAGTTCTTTCTTCCTCCTGTGCCAGTGAATTATGTAAGAACATGCTAGTGTCACTTCTGTAGCCTAGAAGGACCACCTTTCTCTCCCGTTCACACCGCATTGGCAGAGATTGGCCAGGATGCTCCAGCTGATACAGGAGATCTGAGACATGCCCAGCCCTGTCACACAAATGCTGGTGATCACCACAAGTTTTTGCCGCACACACCCAATGTCCACTGTGACAACTGGGGTGTCCCTTACTGCATTCATCCTGGTGGCCTTTCAGGTCCATGAATTCTGGCCTCTTGAATGCTCTGCTGTCACAGGCTAGTATATAATGGTTCAAAGGTATAAAGGTATAAAACAAGTCAGGGTTGAAGCAAAGCAGAGCCCTGAGCTTCACTTACCTTCAGCAGTGACCTCCTGTGATTCATTTACTCCTTCTGTGCCTTGATTTCCAGTGTGTGTGTGTATGTGTGCATGTTGACTATACATAAGCAGGTGCTGATGGACGTGTGTGCATGTGTGTGGGAGCCAGAGGTAACCTCAGGTGTTGTTCATCAGAGCTGTCCACCTTTTTTTTTTTAAAAAAAAAAAAAACAGGGTCTCTCGCTGAACCTGGAACTCACCAGTTTGGCAAGACCAACCAATCTGTCTGTCTGTCTGTCTCTGCCTCCTCGGTAATCCCTTGCTGGGATTACTAGTGTGTACATCTCTGCATGGCTTTGTCTATGGGCACCGGGGCTGGAAATCAGGTCTCCATGCTTGCCTGATTTTCCCTATTCACTTTACCATCTGAGTCATCCCCCTGGCCCCAGCTTCCTTCTTAGACCTCCTTCTCAGAGAGCGCTTCCGAAGTCTGACTGAGTTTTGGCCTTTGCAGCAGAACTTGGAGCAACAAGTTCTCCTGCCGCATATCGTCTTAGCTTTATTTATTCAGGGCGAGTGTTCTGTATGCACATTGCTCGGAAACCAAGGATGATGATTAATTTTAATTGTCAACTTCACCGGAGTGAGACATAACTAGAAGATAGTTTATAAGGCGCACCTGTGAGAGTGTCGGCCATGGCTTTTCTAAGGAAGTATTGGTCGCCAGCACTCTAACCTAATCAATGGCTTGATCCCTGATGGATTTACAGCTGATGACATCACTGAGCGATGGAGTCTAGTTAAAGGATGCAAGTGACTGGCTCATGTTGTTTCTCTGATCACTTCCCGAATCTCTTTCTCTTCACTCCCTGTCATCTATGAAGAGATGCCTCTGAGCTGTGTTCCCACCAGCATGACATTTTGTGCTAGTACACCATGGTGCCAAACAAACACGGACTGAACTCTGAAACTGTGAACCAAAATAGATCTGATTTTATTTCCATATTGTCTTACCGTTAAAACCAATTGCTCAGTGAGGGAAGGCGTTCTCTGCCAATGACCTGAGTTCAAGTCCTGGAAGAGCACAACACGAGTAGAGACCCGACTCACATTACCTTCTCACCTTCATGTATGAGTTATGTATGACACACGTGCGTGTGTCCATACACACAATAAATCAATAAATAAATGTTAACAAACTTAAAGAAGTGTTTGAGATTTTGGAATTTTCAGATTTTGAAATATATACATGTAAAACCAAGGTATCTTGGAGGTGGGTCCAAGCCTAAACTCAGAACTATCTTACCTTTCAAACACACCTGTCACACACAACCTGGTTACCTTCTATGGTAGTTTTTGAACATCTGGGGTTTGAATAGAGCACATGACATGAGGTCAAGTGTAGAATTTTCCACCTGTGTGTGATGTCATACTAGTAATCAAAAGGTTTTTGATTAGGTGGCAGGCCCCGGGGGGGCATATTTTGGGATTTGTACTTTTGTATTGGAGAGTCCCGATCAATGCTCTGAACAAGGAAGCGCATAGGTCTAGACAAGAAGAAGTAATTTCCGATGTGCAAAATCTCTGCTGTGCATCGTGTGGTAGCCCAGCACAGTGGGTTTTGGGTTCAGTGGTTTTGTCTATGATGGGGAACAGTCAGGACTATGGACATTGGCCTCAGCAGCCAATCTCAGCACTTCATCTCATCTAGCCTCTAGGGTCGCCAAGGTTTTCTACTGAAGATCAAGATCTCATGGAATCTCTCCTTGTCATGCCTAATGCAGTCTTAGGCACACACACTGAGTACTCAAGGCCCCTTCTATGGCCTTTCTCTCTGGGGGCCAGAGACCTTCCAGCCTTCTCCTTATGTCCACTTGCCAGATTTAAATCCCCGCCTCCCCATACCTCACACTAAGACCCCATCACAGACCCCCACGGACCTGGTGTGGGCTCTCAGAACTATGAGACCTCAGTGGCCAGCTCAGCCTGCTCCATCTGAGGCCCTCCCCTGGCACCACAAGAGAATGGAAAAGCTGGTTTGTTTACAGGGCACGGGGCCAGGAGAGCGTTAAAAAATCAGCAGCAAAGAAAACGTCACGAACAAATTTCCCTTCCAACACAGGAGTGCAGTCTTTCCTGCCTTCTGACACTGACCACTTTTCTGTGTTTGTATAAACTTTCATCCTTCACAGTTACCATTCCCAGGGCAGGGCTGCGTGTTTCCGCTGGCTATTTATTTTGATTTTGATCATTCCTCTCTATTTGAGCATCACACACCTAATTATAAAGAAAATGGGTTTCCTATGGGCGCCGAGGGAACAACTCCTCCCTGGTCTCTAGGCAGCCTCCCTCTTCCTTCTCATCGCCTGGCACCTTTGGACTGGGCTGCTGCTGCTGCTGCTGGTGGTGGTGGCATGGTAGACCTTTGGTGCTGGCTAGGAGCTGTGGCTCTCCGGGAGGGCTCTGAGCATTGGTTGAGTGAGAACCAAGGAAGGAAGGAGGTGAAGCAGGAGAGAGATGTGTTTTCCAAGGATAACTGGAGCAGACACAAAGGGCTGTGTGGGGTGGAGCATATCTTCCCAAGAGCACTCCAGCCTGAGTTTTTGTGTGAGCTGAAACCTGCAGATCTCACATTTCCTGACCCCAGCAGGTAGCTTATTGTAAAACAGTTCATCCAGAGGGGAAAACATTCCTTCTCTCTGCATTTCAATCTCCTCTTGCTCTGAACCAGACTTGAGAGAGAAAGAATGGAGGCTACTGCCTGTGTCCCAGCTCGGAAATACCTGTGACAGGAGGTTGGAAACCCAAGCCACGGAGGCACC